CTAAACGATGAAAGTCAAATAGTGAACGACGAATGATGCAACGAGAATATTGTCGGTGAAGTTCAGGTATACCTAAGAACAATGGTCCCATGAGGAATCATAATAGGACCACTAGGATGTTGTGACCCAATGGAGCATGTTGTTTTGTTTTGTTATGTAAAATAGATATGTAATTTGCTTCAAATATGTGTTAAATATTAACGACAAACGTATAGAATACCATTAAACACCCCAATATCAAAGAACTACGTTTCAATATCAAGATTAGGCGGAAATAGTTAGTAATAACATCATCTAGACACAATAATCAATAATCAAACCAAAATAATGAAAGTATAACAAAGAGAGAGAGGAGCATTTTTTTTTAACTCTCCATCCAAAGAAACCAAAATCATTAGATCACCTAATATTAGGGATGGTGATTTGTCCCGACCCGATGGGGAACCCGGTTTACTTCGGGTTCCCCGCTAAAACGGGTCCCGAGGTCGGTGATCTTCGGTAGACTCAAACCAGGGGATATTCTTCATGGGGTTTGACTGAGGATTTACTGGGGTTTGACCGGGCATTGATAGAGGTTTTACCGGGGACAAGATGTTAATCCTCATACCCACTAGGGACCGGGGCGGGGGATTACAAAACCCGCCCCATCCCCGTCCTGTTGCCATGCCTACCTAATATCATATGTGATTTTGAAGAAAATTGTAGAAAAATTCTTAAATAAATTACTTCAATAAAAAAACTAAATGAAAAACTAAATCATGCTTGTTTTATATGTCTTAAAAATAAAAAATAAAAAATTGAAAGTTTAACAAGGAGAGAGAGGAGCTTTTTTTTAACTCTCCATCCAAGGCAACCAAAATCATTAGATCAGTCTAATATCATATGTGATTTTTGAAGAAAATTGTAATTTTTTTTAAATAAATTACTTCAATAAAAAAAATTAAATAAAAAATTAAATCATGCTTGTTTTAAATGTCATAAAAATAAAAAATTGAAAAATTAATCATGCTTAAATAAAAATTATAAAAAGTTAAAAAATCTTAAATGCATTAAATAATCCTTATAGAAATAAATAAATTTCCATGTATAATCCAGATACGCAAATATGCCTTTTTATATGATTTTTAAGAAAGTTTTATATAAATCATGATTCAAATAAATGATCGACTACGATTCATTTTTTTTTCTTATTTAGATGATATCATTCAGATTTGAACCTCCTCTTAAGTGTTACAATCATAATTACCCAAACTATATTTTTTTCCAATAAATACAAAACGTTTCTGTGTACATGGGCAGGGGCGGATCTAGCCCTTAAGGACCGGAGGGAAATGCCCCCAGTCAAAGACCAAAAACGTTTGTTGACTAGCTTAAATTTTCTATTTTTATCCTTGTATTACATGGTTTCCCCCAGTCCCATATAGCCATATGCTTGCCTCCCTCAAGTCTCATCCAACATGCCCCCACTCTATTAATTTCCTGGATCCACCACCATGGGCAGAGCCATCACTAGCCTACTAGCCTAGTGTTAGCACCAAATCGTCCTGAAGTTTTTATTTTCAAAATTTTATATGGTCCAACATCTAATAACTATTGCGTCCATTTAAAAGACCATCGTCAACATATTAGACTCTCATATGCCCAAAAGTAAAAACCCAGAAGATACGTGTCTCAAACTCTCACGTATTCAGCCCCCTTCTCTCTCTCATGCACATTGGTTATTAAAAAAACTAAATGTGAAACT